AGACAGTTAAAAAAAATATTTTCCTTTCGTTTCTTTACGATAGCTTACCCCCAAGATTTCTATTCTCCAGCCACTCAAGGACTGTATTCTTTATTCCACAAATTCCTCCTCTCCCCGATTCTCCTCTAATTTAAAAGGTTTCCAATGAACTATTCAGTTTTAAGGAAAGAAAATATACCCAGCGGTGTGTTCTAAAATACGACTCTCAGTAAAAATTACTTACTGAAAAGCCGATGAATTAATCAAGGCTGCTTGCCTTTCTAAATATTGAGGCAATTTAATAAGTAATATTTTAAAAAGCCCTGAATAATGATATTATCCACCCGAGTCTTTGTGGCCTCTTTACCCCCCAAATGAATTCTTAGGGGTCTCAGCGCGCAAGACCGCACCCACATTCAGGGCAGGTTTATTAAAACAGGAAAAACCCTTGTAAGTAGTTTTACGACCCTTTGTGTAAATAACGTTTACATAATTTAAACAGTTTGCTTAGCTTTGCTGCCCCATCTGCCCAAGGCCCCCAAGTCCCTCTTCTCTCAGAAAGGATGCAAGGAAAGCCATAAGGTCTCGCAGAGCCGCGGAGTTAATGGCATGTATCATTTACATCCAGGGCATGGCATGTTTGCAAACTGAGCTTACCATTGAGTGATGAAGTGTACAAATGGCTCAGAGAACTCCCCGGCTGGAAGGACGGGCGATTCCTGGGATTGGATTGAAACAAGAAGCAGAGTCAGAGGGAGAGAAGGTAATTTTTTTTTTTTTTTTAGAGGGAGAGTAATATAACAGCAACAACAACAAAAAGGAAAGGGGGGGAAAAAAAAAGGAAGCGACAAAGCCCCCTTTTCACACACAGAATTTGAGGGAGAAAGGTACAAATTTGTCTGAGAATGTGTTATAAAACACTGAATTTCAACTAATGAGTATTACACAATGGGTAAAAACATGTGGAAAGACACTGAGGGGAGGTGAAAAAAGGACAATGATAGCCACAGGGTAAAAAGGAAGG